TAGCTAGAAATGGAACCACCAGGTCATAGAGCACGCGCATTTTCAATTTTTCCAGATCTGCCAAATTGTTTTCTAGCATTTATCCTCATTTACCCTCTCAGTATAATTTCAAGTCTAGTGATTCGCTTGTGTAGACTAAGCTCGGTTGCCTTCAATAAAGTGATTATTGCTGGAGCAAAGGATGCTATGTCTGAATTTTCACAGCAGGGGTGCGTGTTTAACCAACCCCATCTCTTGTGACTCCAGTAATCACGGCATTAGGTTTTATTTAAGTGAGGTTTACCCTTCTCGCTTCAAGTATTGATGAGACTATAATTATGGGCTGGTTAATTTTTTCTCTCCTGCTGCGGACATTTGTCTGCTGTTCCCTCTTTACTTGCAACAAAAAGGTCCTTAAGAGAGAAGTATCTAATGAATAATTTGGAGATCCCTGGAGGAGTTAGCCCCTCTTTTCAGGTATCAGAGGGTTAAATAGGATACATGTGAGAGAGGAGAGCTGTTCTGCTCCCGGTTTATTGAATGGAGGGGGCTTTCCTGGGAATAAATGTGATGTAATTGAATATTGGACTCACTGAAATCTGAATCCTCTTCTTTTCCCAGTGGGTTTGGGTCAGGGTCCCAGTTCTGTTGCTTAAGTGGATACTTAATAATCCTGATATATCAACAAGCACTATAACTAACATTTACCGAGTGCCAGGCACTTTGCTAAACACTTGATACATTCTCTCTGAATCCCCACAACAATCCAATGAGGAACTATGATTATTACTTCCATTTTGCAGATAGGAAAATGGAGGCTCACAGAAGTGAAAAATATTCCCAAGGTACCTAGCTATTGCACGGCAGGGCTAGGGTTCAAACCTAAGTCTCTCTGGCTTGGAGTGTCAAACCATTCTGCTATCACACTGACTACGATTCGAGAACTCTGTTGTTCCCCAAAGTGACTCCTGGCATCGACTCTGGCCCTGGCATTGATACATGGCTTCAGGAAACACAGCTGTTTGGAGGAGGTCACAGCTGTGCATTCATTTACCACTCCACCAAGCCACACGAATTAAAACAACATAAGGTAAGGCTCACTCAGTCTCAAACACCAGGGTAGGTAATTATTGTTTTAATTAAAGAAAAGAAAGACCCCTCCCATTCCCGCTCAAAACACTCGAGTATTGATTTTGGTAGGAGGTATGGGAATGATTTGGGGCGAGAATTTTTTTATGTTATTAATGATAACAGTTCTATGTACATCACAGTGCATGTCTGAAAGACAGAAAGACAAATCAGGATGCTTACCATTCATTCATTCATTCATTCATTGAATCTTTCTTTCAACAAACATTTATCTGCTACGAGCGCCTGCTATGTGCTAAGCCCAGTTTTAAGTACTGGGATTCCATAGGGAACTTGCATGGACTAGAAAAATCTGTCTTATCTCTTCACTCTATGAGAGAGAGGCTGCGCATCCTTGCAACTGGTAGGGAAAGTTTTCTCTGAATAAAGGTATCAATTGGATTTCATGAACTATTTCTCAAAATCATCCCCTAAAACTCCTCCTCCCTTAAAAGCCTCCCACGGGACATGGAGGAGAAAGAAGGGGAACACAGAAGTCCTGGAACTCAGCCCTCTTCAAGAACCCAGAAAAATGCCCAAGAACACACCCGGCAGTAAAAGCGGCCATAGTCTGGTGACTATCCGCTTCTAACTTCCCTTCTAGGACATTCTGCCCCTCACATTGCCTCTGTATTCATTTGCTAGGGCTGCCACAGCAAAGTGCCACACACTGGGGGGCTCAAACAACAGAAAGTTATTTGCTTACAGTTCTGGTGGCCAGAAATCTGAGATCAAGGGGTTGGCAGGGTTGGTTTCTCCTGAGGCCTCTCTCCTTGGTGTGAAGATGGCCATCTTCTCGAGCTCCTGGTACCTGTCCCTCTTCCTATAAGGACATCAGTCATACTGGATGAGGGCCCCACTCAAATGACCTCATTTTAACTTAATTACCCCTTTAAAGACCTTGTCTCCAAAAACAGTCACATTCTGAGGTACTGGGGCTTAGGACTTCCACGTAGGAATTTGGGGGGAGGGAGAGGGCCACAAGTCAGCCTATAACAGCCTCCCTCTCACTTCCCAAGTCCCCAGTGGTGACATAATGCTAAAGAGCACAAGCTCTGGGGGCCAGACAGCTGTGTGACCTTGGATACACTAAACACTCTGCTTCAGTTTGCTCATCCATAATACAGGACCAATAACAGTACCTGCCCTATTACATAACATTGTTAGGAGGGTTAAATGAGTTAATATGTCTAAGGCACTTAGAACAGTGCCTGGCACAGAGTAAGCACTATATAAGTGTTTATCAAATTAAATAGTAAAATCAAAAACTCATTTTAACTAAAGTGTTACGAGAGCATTATGTTACTCTCCCACAGAATTTGCTTTTTCTGGACAATACTTAACATGAGTGACAGAATCGCCAATTCACAATAGGGGAACCATATATATTTGAGGGTGCAGGCCCTCCAACATTCTTCGAAGCACACTGCTTAGCGACTCTATGATCTACTTTAAAATGTTAGCAATAGCCAACATTTATTAAATGCTAAGAATGTGCTGGACACCACGCTGAGGGCTTTATAGGAATGATCTTATTTAACTCTGTGAGATAGGGGCTATTATCCCCATTTTACAGTTGAGGAAATGGAGGCTCCAAAAAGCCTCATCTCAAGGCGAAGTTCCCCAGCTGGTAAATGGGGGGACAGGGCAGAACAACTCCAGTGTGAGCAAATGAGCGACTATCAACTGCAGAGTTGGGGAGCGAGAGGTTTTCTCTTTCCCCCTACTTTTCCATCACCCCCTTCTCTTCTCCCTCTGCTGAATGACACGTCCCCACGGCCAAGGCTGCACTCTCTCTGCTACAGAAAACATCCAAGCGGCTGGGACCGGACCCAGCACCACCTTGCGAGCCCAGCATTTTGAGGGGCAGGCTTCCAAACAGGGTAATAATCGTCCCATTAAAATTAATGTCCATGAAGTGAGCCGTTAAAAGCGTGCAGATTAAAAAGGGGGGGGGGAGGGAATTGTTCAATTTAAATCCAAGGGGCTTTTTAAATAGACACTGTATCTTCATTCTTGGAACGCTCCACCGGGCAATGGATCAGCTCCCCTCTGCAAAGACTAGGGGGGATTAAGGAGGTGAGTCCCAGGAGAATGGGGAAGTGGTTCTGGCCAGAAGCAAAGGGAACCAAGGTTTATCCAGGGCCCACTGCATGCCAGGTGCCTGGCATACATTTCTCTCATTTAATCTCTGCCCCAATCCTGGGAGGGAGGTATTATTATTCCCAGATTACAGGGGGCAGTATAAAACCGTGGTTAAGAGTTTAGAGCCTGCGGCAGACTGCCCTAGTTTAAATACAGGTTCATTCTGCACTAACTCTGTGAGCTTGAGCAAGAGGCCTTACCTCCCTGTGCCTCAGTTTCCTCATCTGTAATGTAGGATAGTAATAACACCCTCTCCTCCTCTAGAATTGTTGCGAGATTTACTCTAGGCAGCTAGGCAGAGACCTTAGCCCAGTAACCCACAAAGAAGGCTAAGTAAGGGAAGTGTTGATCATGGTTAAAGGTAGGAGAACAGGGGCTGGCAAGGGCCCCTGAGATCACACAGCAGAGCTGGGATCTGAGCCGTGAACATGCTGCAGGCCGGGGGAATCTCTCCTCGTAATAAATCCAGATCCAAACGAAGTTCATGGTCTTGAATCTTTTCCAAGTGACCAGAGGACTCATTAGGCCTCAGCAACACTCTGCCCTGGGTTGGAGAGAATCAAAGCTTCCTCATCAGGTCCCAGACCACCACCTTGAGCCACCTCCGGGCTCCTCCGGTCTTCTGACTCCCAAACTGATCTGAATCCCAATGGATTTAAGATCGGAGATGGTCATTCTCTCCCAAAGAATCCTGAAAGCCGCTCGCCCATCTGTACCTTCACTAGCAGGGACAACTCCAGACCTTCTAGTCTGAAGGAACATATGCGCAGCCTTTGGATTGCACAGAGAAAAGGGCTCAAGTCCCCAGCGTCCCTCCCGCCACCGACCCCTTAGGGTATCCACCGCGCATTAAATCGGGATCGCCGATAGAAACTATAACCCTGGCAGGAAAATAATATTCACAAAGGAAGGAGACAAAAATAAGTTTCCTTCTAAAAAGCCCCTTGGGAGGGTCTTTTGGGTGTGAGTGCGGCGCGCAGCGAATGCGTGCCTCCGCGCCCCGCCGGGGCTAAGGACCGACCCCTCTAACCCCTCACCGGGCCTCCAGCAAGGTTTCTAGCCGCGCTGGGGGCGCGATAGGGTCTGGCTCCAAAGCCCAGAGCCGGGTGGGGGCGTGTGTCCGGTGTGTTCAAATCCGAAGCCTACAGGTGCCTAGTCAGACCTGAAAGTAGGCAAGTTGGGTTGACACTGGCCCTCTCGTAAGATTTTGGATCAACCCACCTCCCCAAAACGAAACAATAGCCTCGGAATATTTTTGAATAATACAGCCGAATTCGATACCAGCTTCATCCAAAACGGCAAACGATCCTGCTTCCGTCGCCAAATCGGAACTGGAGCTGAATTCAGGAAAAAGGGGACGAGGAAACATTCGCTGGCGCTCCACGCCTCTGCGGGGGTCCCCCGCGACCCCCCAAGCCCGGGACCTCGGCGGCGGGGTGCCTGCTCGCGTCCAGCGCGCCGCGCTGCCCCTCTCCCAAACCACGCGCCCCCTCGCTATCGGCGCTGCAAGGGTTAAAAGTTACCTCTCGGTTTCTTCTGCCTGCAGCCCCCCCCCCCGGGGCCGGATGATGTAACCCCCCTCCTCGAGCCCTCCCCGCCCCCCTCCACCATGTGACACTTTAATTAATAATAGCGCCGTCAGCACAACAAACGCACAACACAAGGAGAAACTTGGTGTCCAGGGGAGGCCCCCGGCGGCTGAAGCGCGGCGGAGGCAGGCGCAGAGGCCGGAGGAAGAGGAGGCGAGGGGCGGCCCGAGCGCGGGGAGGGAGCGAGTGGAGCGGTCATGTGCCCGTGCCCCCTGCACCGCGGCCGCGGCCCCCCGGCCGTGTGTGCCTGCAGCGCGGGCCGCCTGGGTCTGCGCTCGTCCGCCGCGCAGCTCACGGCCGCCCGGCTCAAGGCGCTCGGCGACGAGCTGCACCAGCGCACCATGTGGCGGCGCCGCGCGCGGAGCCGGAGGGCGCCGGCGCCCGGCGCGCTCCCCACCTACTGGCCCTGGCTTTGCGCGGCCGCGCAGGTGGCGGCGCTGGCGGCCTGGCTACTCGGCAGGCGGAACTTGTAGGAACGCGGGGCTTCTTGGTGGGGCCGGAGCCGAGACCCAGCCGGAGCGAGCAACAGGTACGCGAGCGAGCGAGCGCGCGCCAGGGCGCGGTAGCTGGGGACTGGAGACGCTGGGCCGGCCTGGGAGCGGGAGCGCGGCAAGTTTGGCTTTCTTCTCTTCCCATCTCCTTCTTCCTCTGCTCCCTTCTCTCGCAAGGATCTCCGTCCCCCTCCTATCCAGTTCCCTTCTCTCCTTCCAAGTGTCAGGTCCACTGTTTCTGTCCCCTTCTCTCGGAATGCTTAAGCGCATCTTGCCACTCCCTCCAGTGGGGTGGCTTTGGGAAGACTTTCGCCTCCATAATCCCCACCAGCCCCGCAAGTAAACACACAATACAAGTTAAAAAGGGTTCTTTCTATGAGAACGTAGTTACAAGCCACGCAAATAATTATAATCTATCGCCGTTTCTAGACAAGTCCCCCGTCCTCTTCCAAGCCTCCTGCTGGTCCTAAGTCGCCGCCATCTCCATCACCTCCGCTCCAAACCCTCTTCTTCCTAAGTGTCACTTCACTTTCTGTTCCCCAGTCTCTGGCTCCCCGAGTGCATCTCGCGACTTCCTCCCCCTCCAGGTTCCTAGCTGGCTGTTGTACTCCCAAGGCCCGCGCACTTGGCAGTTTTCCTCCGCTTTGCCAACTTTTTCACTCCTTCTCCAGCGAGGTGTCCCGTTTAAGGAGCTTGGGTTCCTCTTCACCAGACGGTTGGGACTGAGATGAAGAAGGAGATGCCCCCGAAGTGGGCTGGGATCTGAGGCTCTTAGGGAAGCTCCAAGGGGAAGCCTTAATGAAAGAGCATTTATTGAGCGCCTTCTGGATGCTAGGCCCTGTTTAAGGATGGAATGTTTGAGAGCTTGCGGTATGCTAGGCACTGCGCGGTGGTGGGGGTGGGGAGTGAGTATGGAGCACCTAGTGTGTTTGGTACCAGTGGGAGAAAGGTATTGAGCATCTACTGTGCACTAGGCCCTTGGGGTTGGGGAATTATTGAGCACCAGCCGTGTGCCTGGCACTGCGCTAGGCGCTTTGGGCGAGCAAACGTATAAGGATCATCTTTTCAGATTCTGGAATAGAGAGGAGAGCTACAGAGAATGGGGGTGGAGAGACTCAGGCTGAGCCCACCATAGGTGAGTCTGGGGCCGAAGGTGAGGATCGAAGGTGAAAAAGCCAGCCACCTTGGGATGCCACGGGTCCACGGATGCCGCGCGCTCGGGTCCGGCGGAGCGCCCCGGTGCGCCGACACCCTGGGAAGCTGGCGCGGCGCCCGCAGGCGAGACCCGAGCGTCTGTGCCCGCGGGGAGAGGCGGCAGCCGGAGCGTGGGGGGTGGCAGCGCCGGGGGAGCTGCGGGGGTGCGCGGGGTGTGAGCCGGGAGCGCGGGCGACAGGTGTCGCGTGGGCCGGCGCAGCCCGGGCGCCGGCGAGGAGAGGTGCGCGCTTCGGGGAGCTCTCCACCCGGCTCCCGGAGGTCCCATCCGCTTTTCCCCCTCCAGAAAGAGGGCCCGGGGCTGCCCTCAGCCGGGAAGGGGCCAGGCTGGGGCTGCCGATTCCCAGGCACAGGAACGACATTTTAAACGGGGCGCAGGCGGCAGAAAAAGGGAGTCGAGGGAGAGACGGGAAGCCCAAAGCGTGGAATTTAGGGAAAGGAGGAAAGAAGGTGGGAGGAGAGGGAAAGGAAAAGCGGGCGGCGAGACAGGGAAAGAAAGGAGGATGAGGCAGCTGGAGAAAAAGAGAGACTGCCTGGAGAACAAGTTGCAAGACAGTGGAAAAGTGAATCAGAGGAAAGATGGGAAGCGAGAGGAATCCAGTAGAATTGGAGAGCGGGGCTAGGACACGTCTTCCTCTAGTCTTGGGTCCATGTGAGGCTGGGAGAGCGCTCCCTTCCCAGGATAGGGCGGTGCGGGATGCTGAGCGCCCCACCCAGGAGGCGGAGAACGCCCGGCCAGGGCCCGGCTGTGTGTGCGTGTCGGGTCTGGGGGTGCTCTGGGGCCCGGAGGAGGAGGCTGCGGGCCGGGAGGAGGCGGGAGACCTCCGCGCGGGCGAGCAGTTGGGAGACTCGGGCTCACGCGGCAGGCGAGGGGGGCGGAGAGGAGTTTCGCTGGTGCGGCGTCGGCAGATAACTGTCTTTAGAGTTTGTTTCCCCCTTCTCTCTCTGCTTCTGCCTCAGAGTCCGTGCTGCGTCCTGACTCCCGGCCACCCCCTCCCCACACCCCTGGATTCATCCTTCCGCCTGCTCCGTCCCGCCAGGGCGTCCCCGGCAGCCACACCCTCCAGGGTTCTCCTGCCTCGAGGGCCCTGACCCCAGGATGCCCGGCAAGACTTTCCTCCAGCGCCGCCCCTCACTCCCTTGGGACACCGGTAGAACTGGGTACCACCCCCTTCCTGCGCTCACATCCCGGGTTCGCCATGCTCGGGCTCCCAGCCTTGGCCCCTTTCCCAGGGACTGGAGTTCCCTCCCTGTCACCCACCACCTGCAGCTCTGGCCTTTCTTGCGCTTTTGGCCTTATTGGGGGGAAACCCATCTTTTCCTGGCCTCTGGTAAGTTAGGAAGAAGTGAAAAGAAAGAAATCCACTGGCGAAAGACAATTTGTTGAGTTTTTGTGTGTGGTCCTCTCCGCTTTTCCTACCCTAGAAGAGAAACGGGAGTACTAATGGGGTACCTTGGGTGTTTCAGGGAGGCCTGAGTCAGCCATAAAGGGCAGACAGTTCTTCTCTTAGGCTTAAGGGTGAGTTTAGCTATCTTCAGCAAACTTGTTTGAGCCTCTACTGTGAGCAGCAATACTGTTCTTAGAAGTCATCATTCACACACACACACACACACACACACACACACACACACACACACAGCCTTGAGACTGTTTTCCTATATGTAAAATGGGGACACTAATAGTACTTAATGCATAGATGTGGTCAGGAGGGTAAAATGAATTCATATACAGAAAATTCTAGAACAGTGCCAGCCACGTAAGTGGATATAAATGTGAGCTACCATGATTATGACTGTGCATTTAGGATCTTTCTTTCCCGAAGTGGACAAAATTTTGCCATTGTCATTGCTGGCAATTCCACACCATCCCTACTTGCTCTCTTGGGGAATCAGGGCCAGACGGCCAGGACAGTACGGTGGTTAAGAGCATGGGTTTAGGGACCAGACAGAGCTGGGTTCAAGTCCCAGCCCAGGAACTTGCTAGCAGTGTGACCTTGGGTAAGAACCATAACCTCTCTGAGCCTTTATCTGTAAACTGGAGCTGTACCTCTGTCAGGGTTGTTGGGAGGATGAAAGGAGGGCATCCATTTAAGGTGCCCGGTGCAGTCCCTGGTGCTTAGTTCACTCATCAGAGGATGTTATGAAATGGCTAATGCCATTCTTATTATTTCAAAGGGGAAACCGAGGCAGAGAGAGTTCACCTGCGTCTTCCCAAAGGATCAGTGGCAAAGTCAGAAAGAGAATTGGAGTTTCTGTCTTTGAAGGCTGGCAGCACGTGGACCCCCAGATGACTTGGGGGATGCAGGGCAGGAGAAGATATTGGGTAGCAAGCAGAGGAGGTGGTGAGCCGAGAATGCCTGCACTAGTGAGATTCCCTTTAGGAGAGAGCCTCAGGGGAGGCTCCTTGGAGGCTGGGGAGGCTGGGAGTAGGATGGGTGTGATTTAACCAGTCACTGCTGGAAGATGGCAGGAGAGAAGGAACAAAAGATGCTTTATGGTGAGCGCTGGCTGGCAGAGGCGTGGGAGGGAGGGAGAAGTGCGCCTTGGGAGGGGGCAGGGAGGGAGAGAGAATGGAGCCCAGGAATCTGGCTGCTAGAGGGGGCTAGGGTGGGCAGAATCTTGCCTTGGAACTAAGGAGAAAGAGAGAAAGGGAGAGTCTGCAGGCCCAAGAGGCGACGTGGTCAGCGGCAAAGAAGATAATGGGCCAGCAGGAGCCTGCTTTAATGAATTAATGACGGCCTGGCCCGCCAGCCAGCCAGACGTGCTAACTGGTTCTTGGCAGGTACTTTGGGGATTAAGTGGTTAAACTTGGAGGCACATCCCTCAGGCCTCCCTCCTAGCCGGCTGCACCCCTGCCAGGATTACTTTTAGATCTTGAAAGTCTAGGCGAGAGGAGGGAGCAATCCGAACTGAAGGAGACAGCTGTTGGGGAGGAACCCTGGGAAGGGGCCAGATGTGCAGGGCCTTCCTGCCACATGGTCCCTGTCTGGAGTCACCAGCTTGCCTAGTGAGAGGCCAGGGCACAAGTGACTGAGCTGTGGATGTAAAAAGAGCCACACTGGGGGATAATTAAATACATCCCCAGATGTGGGCTGGGTGGATTTGGCAACCTCTGGTTTTTGAAAAGTCAGCTTGTCAGACCTACGGTGGGGGCAGGGAGGGGTGAAGTGGGGGTTCTGTTTCCCCTCTGGTCATCACCACGTATGTGTGATGGGATTTCACAGGAACAGTGAGCTGCCCCGCAGTATCCCTGGCCCCTGGTGACTTGCTGGCCACATAGTAGGTACGCAGTAACTGTGTGATGAACAAATGAATCAGTCAGAAACTATGCAAGATAAGTATTACTGTTTCCTGAATTCAGCTTCTTACACTTATTCAGCTATTAATTATTGAGTTCCTACTGTGTGCAGGGCACTGTGGACACAGGAAGAACCGAGACATAGAAGCCCCTTCTCTCATGGGGCCTACATTTTAGTGGGAAGAGACAGATGATAAGTCAATAAAGATTGTTCTGGTTACTGTTGCTGTGTAACCAATTACTCCCAAACTTAGTGGCTTAAAACACCTATTTGATTATGCTCATACATTCCGTGGCTTGGGAATTTGGACAAGGCATGGCAGGGGTGACTCATCTGCTCCAGGCTAGTTACAGGCTGGAATCACGGTGGGGGATCTTCATTTACAGATCTGGCTGTTGATTCTGGGTAGCAGCTGGGACTGCCAATCAGAGCATCTCCACTCAGCCTCCTCTTGTGGCCTGGGCTTCTCCACAGCATGGCAGCCTCACGGTAGCTGGATTCCAACCTGGTGACTCAGAGCTCCAAAA